TGGACAAATCAAAAGCTGGAATTAAGGTTCCTAGGAGAAGTATCAACATCTCAGATACACTGATACCACTCTGAAGGCAGAAAGTGAAAAAGGAAGAAGCCTCTCGATGTGGGTGAAAGAGGAGAGTGAAAAACTGGCTTGAAGTTTAACACTAAAAAAATTAGATCATTGCATCTGGTCTCATCCCTTCCTGACAAAGAGAGGGAGAAGAAATGGAAGCAGTGTCAGATTTTATATTCCTGGGCTCAAAGATCACTGTAGACAGTGACTGTGGCCAGGAAATTAAAAGACACTTGCTCTCTGGAAGGAAAGCTACGGTAAATCTGAACAGCATACTTAAAAGCAAAGATATCACTTTGACAACAAAGGAGTGTATAGTCAAAGCTATGGTTTTTCCAGTAGTAATGTACAGCTGAGAGAGTTGGATTATAAGGAAAGTTGAGTGCCACAGAACTGAAAGTATCCTTTTGAATTGTGGAGCTGGAGAAGACTTTCGAGAGTTCCTTGGACAGCAAGGAGATCAAATCAATCAATACTTAAAAGAATTTACTCTGACTATTCATTGCAAGGACAAATACTGACGCTGAAGCTTAAATACTTTGGCCACATAATGAGAAGACAAGACCCATTGGAAAAGACCCTGATGTTGGGAAAAACTGAAGGTAAAAGGAGAAGGAGATGGCAAAAGATGAGATGGATAGTGTCATAGAAGCAACAAATATGAGCTTGCTCGGACAGAATTTGGGAAGATAGTGGAGGACAGAAGGGCCTGGCGGAATATGGCCCATGGGGTCACGAAGAGTCAGACAAGAATGAATGACTAAACAAGCACAGTGATCTGATCCTTTCACCAGCTCTGTCCAAAGTGGCAAGGATGAGACTAGCTTGCTCCTGTCATAACTGTGTTACAAGGGACCAAGCTTGAGATCAGCAACTTCTCTTCTCACAGAGGGACATCTTGGGGTCATGCTACACAAGAGATGTAGGAAGACACACCACAACTGCTGAGGCCCAACTGCTGAAATGGTTTACAACCACAGTACCACTGAGGAGCCAGCCCCCTACCCTCTCCCTAAGGGGTAAGAAGAAGAAGGGAAAGAAAAATGAAGAAGAAAAAAGAGAGGGGGAGAGGAAGGAAAAGGGGGTAGGGTAGAGCAACACAAACATGTAAAAGGCATAAAGGGGAAGGAAGTATAAGTGTGTCAAGAACCTATATACTCTGTACTTGGGCCTCAAGGACGTAGAACGAGTGTACACAGCATACGGAGGCAATCTTTTGACTAGATTTGAATCTCATCTCTTTGACCTGTTACCTGTGTGATCTGGGACAAGTCCCTCAACCTCTCGGGGCCTCAGTTTCTTCAGTTGTAAAGTAAAAGGGTTGGATGAGATGACCATTAAGGTCCTTTCCAGCTCTATATCTATGACTCTGTGAACTCATATTTTAAAACTGATGATATAATCAGCTTCTCAAAATTTTTATAAAATTTCACTTTACACACAACACGGCTGACCTAAATTGTATCTATTCCAATAGTACAGGGATACCTATTACATCTATGTAAAACATACTTCCCACTAGTGCCTTACTGCCCCCAACTAAACCCACAACCTGGCTCCAGCATCTTCCCACTGGTCACAAAGAGAACTGTTTAAGAACATGTGTAATGCTCAGCAGGGAAATCTACTGGAAAACTTCAAAATACATCTCTTACCAACTGATGCTGGATCACCAGCAAGAGATACTTATACAAAGACTTGCATAACATGACTAAACTGCCTTCTTTTAGAGATCCGTTCATTGTTTTTCACCAGAATTTTGCTTATACTCTATGCTAAATATTTATATATTTATATAACATCTACCTAGTGATCTCAAAGTGCTCTGCCAACTACCAAACCTATTTTGCACACATGAGGTATCATGGTTCTTAGTGCCCCTACACTAAATGGCTTACCAGTCTCTATTATACCACAAGAGATCTGAAAAGTTGTCCACGAAAGGAAAGGAATTTAAGTTCCTGTTTATATTTCCTTAAATTCACCACAAAGATTCTCCCCTTCTGTCCCAAAACCACAAAATCAATGCTTTGCAACAACACATTCTTAACAATTTTGCTTCATTTCCCCTTACAGACAAAGCAGAAAGTTCCTTAAAATGGCAAGTCAGTTCCCTTTAACTTTCAAAATGGAAATATCTCTGTAAAACTCCAAACAAAATTCTGATTTCTGAGTTTGATTCCTTGATCTCTGATCTGCAACCTTTAATTATTACACAGGTTGCTATGAGCTTTTTTTTTAAATATATTAAGAAATCTTTCTTCGAAGAAACCCACAATGTGACCAAAAAGTAATGAGATGACAAAAAAAACAAACAAAAAAAAAAAACAACCCATCACTCAACAATTTTATGCATTCATATGAACCTTCAAAGTAGTCACCTAGGGATGCCACAGTTATTCCAATGTTTCTACCACTGTTCAAAACATTATTGAAGATACTTTTTTCAAACTGCCTTTAGGACCAATTTAAGAACCACAAAAAAGTCTCAATGCTTTATAGAGGTACATGGCTTTTTGACCAAAAAAATCCAGTATTTTCCAGTTTAATCACCCACATTACTCCACCAGAAACCTGCCTACAAATGAAAAAGTTGTAGTTAGCAGCCTCAAAAGAAAGAAAATTTGCTACAACTGAAAATATTCACAAGAATGTATTTTGAGGGGTAATTCCAAAAGAAGAGCTCCAAATATGTTGCAAGAGTCTTAGGCATACTAACTATGAAGGTTTTGAAGAGTTTGCTCCCAAACACTTTGCATGTATAAGTTTTAGTTCTTTACTTTAAAGGCATAGCTCATAACAACAAAAATAAATTCATCCATTTACTATTCTCACATTGTCATAAGAGAGTATCTCACTGGATAGTTTACTTCATGCAGAACTGTTAATGTTCAGAAAACAAACTGTACATTCAAGAAGAAATCTATCAGGGTTCAATTCGACTACTTCACTTCGAATAAAATCACTCAACTAATAAATAATCCTAGTTGGGAACAAAAATTGAACGCATCAAGATTGATTTACTTAAGATGGACCAAATGACCCAGTGAAGAAATAGTCACACACAAAAACTGAAAATGAGAAAATACAGATGAGTAAAAGAGATTGTTTCAATCCAGTTGCTTTATAACGAAAATTTTCATTTGGAAAGAATGGAAAAAAATATGTAGAGTACGGTCCAATCTGCTACACATATTAAACAGCTTCAGCTTGAAAATGCAATATGATCTGTTATTGGATGCAATTGCACAATCTCAGTTTCTGAGCAAATTCTACCAAACAGGAAATTCATGATGTGACTCTAAGGAGCACAGGAATCATGTTGAAGGAGTGTGCCAAAGATGAACATTTCCTAAAAACAGAAATTATTTGGCAAGTATGAAATTGTGTTACAAACAATTTTAAAATCACATATGCACATAACACTAAAAAACAAACAAAAAAAAAACCCTATAACCATCACCTATTTATTTCCAGGCCAAGATTTATGAAAAATCTAAAGTATACAATTTATCATATGGCATGATATTTTGGTTTTTCATTGGCTAAACACGTATTTAAACCTAAAGATTTCTGAAGAATAGAATGGACTACCTTGTGAAATGGTGAACTGTTCAAATTGGGTCAGAAGGAACATTTGTTAGGAACACTGCAGAAGGAGCTTTGCTTCTGGTGAAAGGCTGAAGTAGACAATTTCAAAAGTCCTTTCCAATTTTAAGAATCCAAATTAAAAAACTTAATTATGCTACGTGAAGAACTGTTATAGTAAAATACTTTCTATACAATTCCATTTCTATACAATTAATTACAATTAATCAGAGCCAATGACCTCTTTCAAACTTCTCCATTTTCTTGTTTTCCTGATGCAAACCACTTTGCACCTGTTTTCTTAGCAGTGAATGTGGAAAGTTCTGTGTAAAGTTCTCCTGTTCTGTGTAAGTTTCTGTGTAAATGCATCATGGTATGGAACTTTTACAATATTGTTGGTAAAGTGAATTGAATATTATCCCAATCGTGCAAAAATATAACTCCTGTCACTGTTAATGGCCATATTTCATCTTAGGGATGTCACACCGTGCCCATTTTCCCGGAATCAAATGAAAATGTTTTGTCAAGAACTTTCGAATAAAAAATGCTAAAATGCTTGCAATTATCCCATGGAACTCCAAAATTACAACAACCTTGTAGGTGCCTTCTTTTCATTAAAAAGAAAAAAAATTAGCTTCCAACCAGCTCAGGTCACAGTCAACGTTAAAAACTAGCAGGCTTGCAGAAGTGTATTCATAATTTCAAGCACGAAGGGTAGCAAATAAGTGAAATCTCATCAAATATGTCCGTTTCTGAAAACTGGATTTATTTAATTAACAGATGTTTGCGAAAAAGACCAGATTTTCCCCCCTATCAGGCACAAAACCCAGAGGGGTTTGCTGCCCAAGAACAACGTCTTATTAATTCTCCCATTCTTAGGCTGCTTCCCCATGTTTGGCCTGTCTGTAGCCCGTGCCAGATCTGACACACTGCGTGGGCGGGTGGAACGGCCACGGACACCCGCCGAAGCTGGAAAAGATCAATAAAGGGCCGAGCTTGCATTCTGCTGGTGGGACTTCCTCACTAAGTTGACCTCCCATTTCCATCTTCCCAGCAGCTCTACGGGGTAGGGGTTGAAGAGAGAGAGCCCTCTGGAGCCGACAAGCCGGGCCGTCTGGTCTCCAACCTACTAATGCAAACTGCTCTACGTACGTGCGAACGAGTTGTCATAATCTTGCTCGGCTGTGCAAGAGGGGACACGAGAGTGTGCAGGACAGGGTATGCAGGAGGGAGCAATGCCCTATCCGAGGTGGGGGGGGGGGGGAATTCCTGCCGCTTGGTGCATCCCTGAGTTCCTGGGAGGCAAGCTAGAAACTCCGGCGCCGTCCCACCCTCCAACTCGGGATACTCACCACACGGATCCATAGGCGCCTGAGCCCACTGGGGACAGGTTCTGGTAGCGCTCGGGCACCTCCCAGATGGTCTTGTTCAGCTCCTGACGGTAGAACTTAGGCCTCTCCTGAGACATCTTCCACCGACGGCTGCAGCGAAGGGGTGGCGGCCCAGCGGGAGCCAGCCAGCGCCTCCGCCCGCCCGCCCGCCCGTCCGGGCCGGGCCCCCCCGCAGTCCCCCGGCGCTCCGCAGGTGCTGCAGCCGCGACGGCCCCGCCGATCCCCGCTCCCGCAGCCGCTGTCAGCCGGGGGCGCGCGGCGACTCTGCTCACCCCCGGGAGCCCCGGCCACGGGCAAAGGGTGGCTTCCCACACTAAGGACCTGGGACTGCGCCCGCCTTCCTGTGGCTTCCCTCCGCGACCCGAAGGCCGGGGCCGGGGGACCGGAAGGGGGTGACGAAAGGGCCGGTTTCTCCGCCTGGAGGTTACGGCTGCAGCAGTGGCTGCAGCTCAGGCTCCGACGGCAGCTCCCGCGCCAGCTGCGGCTCCAGCGCCTGCAAATCTGCGAGCTCCTCCCCTCCTCCCAACCCCCCCCGCAGACGGGAACTCGTGGACGTGATCTCGCGAGAGCCTCGCGCGGGGTGGGTCGGAGGAGGTCCTCCGTGAGCCCCGATTTTACCCAATATGGAACCTGCTCGCGCGGGGTATTGGGGGAAGGCAAGGGATGCCGGAGGGGGAGGGCGAGAAGGAGAAGGAGGAGGAGGAGAAGGAGGAGGAGTAGGAGGAGGCGTGTTCTCGCGAGAAGCAGCTCGCGGACGTTTCTGCGTCCCTTCCCGGAGTCTGAGACTTGTTTCTCGGCGGGGCGGGAATGGGAATGGACGAGGCCTATGGCGCAGTCCTGCGGGAAAGATAAGCAGACGGGGGTTTTGGAGCGAAGGCCCCCGGTCCTCCCGGTGCACGTTTATTGACGAGCGCCCAACCCCCCCGGCATGCCTGGGCGGGCCTAGCCTCTGCCGGGACAAACCGCTGGCCTCGGTCCAAGTGCGGGCACCAGCCTAGGCTCCGGCCGGGGCCTTGCCGCCTAAGTGGACTCTTCTTGACGGAGGGACCCGGATGTCCCCGGGTAGAGTAACCACAAGGCTCAGTTCCACAATCATTTATCAAATCCCTTGAGGCACTGGCGAAGATGCCAGGATACAGATGTTGCCTCCAGGCGCTGTGTGCCCTCCGGCACATCCCTTCACCTCTCAGCCTCAGTTTTCTGCTCCGTAAAACGGAGATAACAATAGCACCTACCCACGGGGCTGATGTATGGATCAAATTCAATTCAGAAAACGTTTATGAAGTGCCTACTATATGCCAGGCACTGTGCCAAGCGCTGGGGATACAAAAAGGCAGAAGACAGCCCTTGCCTTCAAGGCGCCTACATTACAACCTAATGGAGTTGACATGGGAAGTGCTTTGCAATTCTAAAACGATAGAATTCCCCCAAGCCTCCTGGAGCCTGACAGTCTGAGTAGGCTGGTTGACAGGAATGAATACATAAATGCCCTTAATGCAAAACTGTACGTGATTAGGAGGAAAGAACTAGGGGAAAGGCCTTCGGCAAGTTGGAAAGATCCTCTGGAGAAATGTATGTAAAAAAATGGACAGGGGCAGCTAGGTGGTGCAGTGGATAGAGCACCAGCTCTAGAGTCAGGAGGACCCGAGTTCAAATTCGACCTCAGACACTTGCCGCTTACTAGCTGTGTGACCCTGGGCAAGTCACTTAACGCCATTGCCTAATCAAAAAAAGAAAAAGAAATGGACAGGAATCACCCCATAGTGAGAAAGCATGGATGGATTGCCATCTGCATTCTAGGAGCAAGTACTGAATCCGAGGGAAAGAGCTGCAAACAGCACTATGTCAGGTACCAAGAGGTAAAGAAGGATTTTTTAAGGCCTGGGGTGATCAGGGAGGGCTTTCTGGAGGAGGTGGCATTTCAGTTGGATTTTGAGTGTGGGATGTGGTTCCATGCTTTGGAGATAGCTTCAAAAAAAACAAAACAAAACAAAATACTAGCAGTGTGAAAGAAAAAAAGGATTGCAAGAAATCCAGTTTCCTGTGATAAAATATTTTGACTTGATTTGAAGCACCAAATTCAAGTTTCCATCAAAATTACTAGTCTAGAACTCTAATAAGATCTTTCAAGGCTTCCAATTTTGACTGTATCTGAGGTTTCTTCTATGTGGGTATTAGCTCCACCATTTCGATGGCAATTATTCCTCCACACAAGTCCACCAGACATTTTGAGTGCCTTCCTCTATATCTCTTGATGTGTACCAATGGAACACTTGGAGCATTCATTTTTATCTCTCATTGTCACTGTGTAACCTACCTACTTCCTCTTCTAATTGGACTGCTTTAATTTTTTCAAACTCTTTAGTTTTTACATCACTTACATTACCCAACGTGGCCTTTCCCACACACACTTAAAAAAAAATGAAAAAAAGGAGAAAAAGTTCAGCAAAACTAACCAACACATCCAAAATTTTCACATTATCTGTAGTTATTTCCCACCTATGGTCCTCTACCTTTTCATATTTCCTTTTGTCAACTTGGATTAGTTATACTTTCTCAGCATTCGTTTTAATTGTTTTTTTCCCATTACATTGTTGTAGTTGTGTAAATTGTTTTCCTGCTTCTGCTTACTTTACTTTGCATCAATTATGTATTTTTATGTAATTCTCTCTAGACATTATATTCATTGTTTCTTTTCACAATCAGTCAGTAAACATTTATTAAGCTCCTACTATATGCCAGGTACTATGCTAAGTATGAAGGTTGTGACACAGTTCACAATCTAATAAGGGAGACAAAAAGCAAACAAATAACAAACAACCCACATACAGGATAAATGGGAAATAATTAAAGAGGAAAGGCACTAGAAATAATAGAGGTTGAGAAAGTCTTCTGGTAGATGGGACTTCAGTAGATATTTGAAGGAAGCCAGGAAAACCAGTAGGAGGAAATGACAAGGGTGAGTAATATTTCATTATATATCATTATTTACCACGGTTTGTTTAGTCACTCTGCAGTTAGTGGGTATCTACTTTGTTTCCAGTTCTTTGCTACCACAGAGTTCTGTTATAAATATTTTGGTATATATGGAGTCTTTCTTTTTTGTCATTGACCTACTTGGGGTATATATGCCTACCATGGAGTAACACTAGAACAAAAGATATAGAAGTTTTAGTCACTTTCTACAAATAATTCCAAATTGCTTTCCATAAAATAGACCACCTCACAGCTCCTCCAACCAATGCTTTAGTGTGCCTATCTTTCCACAACCCCTTGGACATCTACTATTCTCATCTTTTGTCACTTTTGCCAATTTGCTGTTTATAGAGTGAAACTTAAGAGTTCTTTTTGATTTACATTTCTCTCATTTTTAGCTAATTGTATCTTTTTTTATATGATTCTTACTAGTTTACAATTCTTTTGAGAATTTTTGACCACTTATCTATTGGAAAATGACTTTTTTTTTCTTTGAGGCAATTGGGGTTAAGTGACTTGCCCAGGGTCACAAAGCTAGTGTCAAGTGTTTGCTCTGAGGTCGGATTTGAACTCAGGTCCTCCATTGCGCCACCTAGCTGCCCCTGGAAAATGACTTTTGCTTTTATGTATTTCTCTTGCTGACTATATATTTTGGATGTCAGGCCCTTATTAGAAATATTTGATGTAAAAATTTTCTCTTTTTAGTTGACAGTTTCCCTTTTCCTAATGGCATTAATTTTACTTGTGCAAATTTCACCTAATTAAAATGTCAATTTTATTTTTTATAATCACTGCTATCCTTTGTCTGACTATTCCTCCCTTAGCCTCAAACTCTCTCAACCTTCGTATTTAGTTCTTTTATTTCATTGTCCATTTGCAGTGTATGTTAAAGCCAATATATGTGCCCTGATGAACCTATGGGCTCTTACTCTAATAACTTATTATATCATAAACTGGACAGTAAGCATCTTTACACACTTTATTTTTCCACATGGGTAATTAGGATAAACTCTTTTAAGTGATTATGGATCTCATTTTAGAAGTTTCACAGTGTCATCTGTAAACAAGGGCATTTGTATGACCTCACCATCTATAGGAGATTGATTCCTCTTTCATTTAGACTCTGTGCAAACACTTTTGATAAGCCTCGTTCTGTTTTAGGCCTCACTTTAATAATAAGGGGTAGACCTAGCTAACTCAATTGCACCTTTCAAGGAATGTATGAGTTTAACATATGTAGGCGGGGCACCTTGTTGGAAGAGAGACTTTGAAGTAGCATTTTGCTCTACCAAATAAAATGCTTTTTTTTTCAGTCAACAAACAATAAGCATAGTAGGATTTTGTCTTCTCTGTACCTTTCACACAATTGTATACTTAAAGAGATGTGATCTGCTTTAGACCATAGTTTGGGAGAGCTTGCCTTTTCTCATACCTTCATCAAGGTTCATGGGATACATGTGTAGATTATTCTCATAAAGACCGTGTAGAGTTGGAAAAAATCTATATGTGATTCCGTAATTATTGCTATTTTTGCTATCATCTTTTTTGAGTGGTAACAACACACAAGATTTCTCCACTAACTTTTGAGAAATAATCTCTCAGTGCCCTCAAAATGGTCACCTTCAGCATGGAGCTCTTTTGTATATACTTGGTTTGCTCCATCTGCTCTTTCTGGTTTTGTTTCCATTTGTTAATGTAGCCCATTAAGATTATGATATAAGAACCAAAATGTGGTGACTTCCCTGTCATTAAAGGAAAAAATAATTTTTTATAAAAGTCTTATATATCTCTTATTTAATCCGTTTAAATTTCATCTATAAATGTTCCTGAGATGACATTGATAGAGTTTGGGGTTGCTGGGAACCCCAAAATGTCAGGGTACAGAGTGGCTCCCACCTGGAATGAGTTCACGCACTTTGTGATAGGTAGTACCCTCAGAAGAAATGAAGAAGTCTGGAAGAGAAGTAAGCCTAGATTTAAATTTACCTCAGTAAGGTTTACTGATGAGTTTATATTCAAAGTCTGTATTATATTTGGCTGCCAAAATCTCTCCATTTGGCAGAGAGACTGTTTGTGTCCCGAGGTGGTTTCTAGGAGTTTTGGACTTTCTTGTTATGGTAATTAGTTTATATACACTAAACTTCTTTAGGAAATAGTGTTTTAGATCATCATCTATTTAGTTTGCTAATAAAGAAAGATGTGTGTGTGCGCATATGTGTGTATATATCTTATGTAAAACAGGTATAGTGCCCATAGGATTAAGTAGCTGTCAGTACTATAAACTATACAGACTCCATCCATAGTTTTTGTAATATTGAGAAACTATCAATTTGAAGAGGGCTACAGTACAAAAAAAAAAAAGTTTACGTCCCATGCTTCATAGAAAGGATTCCGTTTATGTACTTTTTGTAAAGTGAGTACTCCTTATCCAGTCTGATGATCTTTCTTGGGCAACCCTCAGCCGATGAATTCCTTCATATCCATACCAAACTGAAGCTCTTACCTGGCTCTGGAGACAGTGTTAGCTTCAGATTCACTGTGATCACATTCAGATTCACTCAGGCCAGTGATTCCTGTCTTTGAACAGCATCACTAGGCCATTATGGAGCTGAATATTATAGTTCTACTTTGTCCTACCATACATCGTAATCTTCCTGTTTGCCACATATACAACATTTTTTGTTACCTTTGGGCACATGACAAAACAAATTTTAGCTATTCCTTTATTTGATTCTCTAAGGAGAACCTGTAAGCCATCCTTTTACTTAACTACAATTTCCTTTTGTCTTGTTTCATTTATAGAGAAAATGTCAAAATTGATACTATTTAATACTTCCCAGCAGTTTGTCAACTCTGTCATTGGGCAAAAAAATGTCATATTTAGAGTACTGAGTTTCTAGATGATCTAAAATTGTGATTCTTAGGATTACTTTCTCTCCTTTCTACCACTATGCCACCACCACTGCAGAAATGGAAAAGGGCTACACAGAACTGAGGGTCATTTAAATTTTTCTTTATTTCATAGTTGTCATGCCAAAAATTCATTGTGTCATGGCTTTTTTGTTACTCTGGGGAATTCTATGAATCCCTTCTCAGAATAATGATTTTAAATGCATAAAATACATAGCATTACAAAGGAAATCAATTATACAGAAATAGTCAACAATATTTTTTTTAAAAAGAAGTTCACAGATACCAGGTTAAGAGCCCCTGATTTAGTGACCACCCTCCTCATAATAATCTCCACATGTACCTAGGCTGATCCTCTGAAAGCAGAGAGTCTATTGTGGTTACCATGCTTAAAGTCTTTTTGGCATGGCAGAATCTACCAGGGCTTAATCATAATGACAATAATAACAGGGATTATAATAACTAGCATTTCCATGGTACGTTAAAGTTTACAAAGCACTTTATAAACATCCCATTTTATCCACAGAACAGCTCTGTGAGGTTGGTGCTATTATTATCCCCATTTTTCAGATGAGAAAACAGGCAGATAGAGGTCAAGTGACTTTTACAGCTTTTAATTAATTGTCTGAGGCCATATTTGAACTTAATTCTTCCTGATTCTTTAAGTCCAGAACCCTATCCACTCTTCAACCTAGCTCCTTCTCTCCTGAGGTAGACTTCAAAAACTTAGTATACATGGAGGATGCACTAAAGAAAAAAATGAGTTGATAATAACAATGTTGGATTTTACTTCAGTTTTTGTCATCTTTAAATTATACTGATAGTGACTTATATACTATAGGTTAATGAAAAGAGTTGGTAATCAAGAGATCTAGCTGAAGGATAGTAGGCAAGAAGTTGAATCCCCCTATGACTCAGTTTCCTCCTCTGTAAAAGGGATTCTGCCCTCTCTACTTACCTAAAATAGAATGTGTAAACAAATAAGATAAACAGTATAAAACCAGTTAACTTTGAAGCCCATAATGCATTCTTGGTGGACAGGAGGTGTAGCCAAAGTAGGTGTGGCCAAAGGGGGAAGTAAAGTTTTTGTTGTATTTAAGTCCTGCCTGCCTTGTGACGCCATTTGGGATATATTTGGCAAAGATACTGTAGTGTTTTCCATTTTCTTCTCCAGCTCATTTTACAGATGAAGAACTGAGGCAAACAATTAAGTGACTTGCCCAGGGTCATGAAGGTAGTAAGTGTCTGAGGCCAGATTTGAACTCAGGAAGATAAGTCTTCCTGACTTCAGGCAGGCACTTTATCTATTTCACCACCTAGCTGGAATAGGGTATTTAGGTGCAAGTGATGGGATCTTCATTTTGAGGTAGGTCATAGGATCTTAATTCTAGAGGCAGAAGGGGCCATAGAGGTCAATCTCATCCAACTCCCCCTTTTTTTTCTATGGAATAGGAAAGGAACCCAGGGAAGTTGTGAGATACCCAAGGTCACACAGGTAATAAACATCGGAAGAGGTGGTTAGCTCAGGACCTCTGATTACAGTGCCAATGCTCCTTTCACCTCATACTTTTTTTGATTCTTCTTGATGCCCAAGCACTGCATACTCACACTGCAGCACCTCTTCTAGGAGAGCTCACAGCTAATAATCTGATTTAGAAGTACGGAGAATTGTTTTTAGTTTAAAGGATGAGAATGTGGTTCTTTGAAAGGGGGCTGAAAATGTGGTTGGAAAGGAAGGAGTGAAGTGAGGAAGGACTGAGACTGTTACAGGGAGGTTGGTGCTGAAAAAGCAGTCATTCTGAGAATGAGGATGAGGAGATGACGTAGGAATTTGGAGTAAGGGGGCTGATGAGGTAGGAGTATGGAGTGAGAGACTTCGAACGTAAGAGTAAGGTTAGGGCTGAAGATGAAAAGGTAGGGCCCAAGATGGTGAGCGGACGATGTAAGGAGAGGATGGGGAGGTGATAAGATGAAAGGTAAAACTGAGGCGGAAAATAGAGGTTGTGTCGAGTAGAGGTGAAGTGACAGCGAAGTGCGGAGTAGGACGCCAAAAAGGTAGGACCTGAGGATGAGAAGTTCAGAATGGAAGAGTTCAAGTTAAGACAGATAAAGGGATGGGGTTCAGGACAGGTGTGAAGAACTGAGGAATGTAGATGTGAGGTTAAGCAACTGAGTGCAAAACACAAATGAGAAAAAGCAAAGAACGTCCCCCGGTCAGAGTGCACCTCGGTGGTGCGGGAGCCCTGCTGCACTACCCCTCCTCCCCACCTTCACTCCTCAAGCCTTTAGAATGAGCACGAGTTCCGCCGCAACGGCTCCGGAACTGCCAGGATCCCAGCCTCCCGGGCTGGGGGCGGCGCCTTCGCGGGCCGATCGGCATCCCGACCCCGACCCGCTGCTACCTCGCAACTCTTGGACCACAGGCTTGCTCTCCTTCACTTACATTCGCACAAGTAGGAGTGATGTGGGTGAGTAGGCAGGGTTACCCCAAATGCAGGATGGACGCCTGAGTTGTCTAGGCCCCAACTCACTTGTCTTACTACCCCAGCCCTAATTTGCAATTAGGAGCTTTCCCTGGGCGGGGCCATGTCTTCTTCCTCGAACGTCCGCTGGGCTCCTGACAGAGATGGATGGGAGGTGCCTGGGACGAGCCGGCCCCCAAAGCCGGAGGTGGCCCGGAGCCTGAGGGTAGGGGAAGTGCTGAGGAGAAATGGAACGGGGTGGCGGGGAGAAAAAGCAGAGCAGGGAAAAGGAGGAGCCAGGAGGGAAGAGGAGAAGCAGAAAAGAGAAAGAGGGAAGAGAAACTGGAGAAGAGCGGAATTGTAGGAAGGAAGTAAGAGGTGCTGGGCTTCCTCAGGCCCAGAGATCTCAAGAAAGTGAGAGGTAGAGTTCATGTAGGGTAGAAGTGGCCCTCTATAAACACACCATAGGGAATAACACAAGTATAGATTCTTGAAGGGGGAAGGGATTTTTGGAGTCATATACTTCAGACCCCCCCTCGCTTTACAGAGAAGTAAAATTACAGAAGATTTCCCCAGATAACTCATTCCCCCTCTCCTTATTTGATGGAATGATCAGGAAATTGGGAACTAGAGGATCTGGGTTGAAGGCTGTCTTTCCTCTCTGGCCTTGTGATAGTTGTCTCAGTGATAGTTGTCATGTGGAAGAGGAATTGTATTAGTCTTGCCTGGCCCAAAGGGCAGAATTTATGTTTCCTCTCAGTATAAAGACTTCTCTGGAAAAGGTAGGTTTTTGTCATCACTTGACATCTAGGTAGAGGCTGAATGACCACTTCTCAGAGATGTTGTATATGGAATTCTTGGCCAGGTAGAAGTTGGACTTGCTGGCCTATCAGAATTCTACCAGTTCTGAAATTCTGTCAGCTTGTGATTTAATGGCTTTGGGCTTCAGTTTCCTCATATGTAAAATTAAGGGTTTGAACTGTATATATCTTAAGGCCCTTTACAGTTCTAAATCCTATAACCTCACATAGCACTTTGCTCTCCACCACTTTGATACATTTACTGTGTGTGTTATGGCTTTCTGTATTGGTATCTTATCCTCCTATATGACTGTATACTCCTTCAGTCAGTCAGTCGTTAAGCATTTCTTAACCTGCTATATGCTAGGCACTGTGCTAAATGGTAGAGATACAAAGAAAAGCAAAAGACTGCCCCTGCTCTTAAGGAGCTCATAGTCTAATGGGGGAGACAGAATGTAAACAATTATGTCTAATTATGCACAAAAACAATTTTGACAAGACATATACAAGAACAATTGTGTAATTAATAGAGGGCAGACACTAGCATTAAAAGGAGTCAAGAGAGGCTTCTCACAGAAGATGGTTGTTTTAGCTGAGACTAGAAGAAAGCAATAGGGCAGAAATAAGGAGAGAGAGTATTCTAGGCACAGGGGAACAGGCAATGAAAAGTACCAGGAGTCTAGAGATGGAATTTCTGATGTGGGGAACACAGTATTTTCACCAATACCCAATACAGTGTTCTGAACACAGTAAGCACTTAGCAAATGTATGTTGTGTTATTTTGCCAGAAGTCACACAGGTATCCCAGACAAGATTCCAAACCAGATTATGTCACCATAAATTCCACCTTCTTTCTGTTAATGGAGTGATGGAACTTGACAAAATCCTGTGCCCTTGTGGCCAGGTGGCAACTCTTCCTAAGCTCCCCCAGACATATTAATAAGCTCTGAGATAGGCTAAAGCAGATAGGATACTGGGAGGATAGGTAGAGCGAAAGAAAGTGGCATGGCCTAAGGCCATAGGGACTTCTGGAGGGTGAGAGTAATTAAAATGACCCTAGGAGAAGGAGAAAAATTAGAAGCAGGACCAGGCAGGAGGAGGGACAAAATAAAACTGTATCCACAAGAAAGAGAGAATAATAGATTTTAAAATGATAAAAAAAAACCTCAGAGGCCATGTAGTTCAGCCTCCTCATTTTATACATCAAGAAACTGAAGCCAAGTGAGGCTTAAATGACTTGCTCAAGGTCACACAGGTAGCAGGAATCTGGGTTTCTGACTCATGAGCCAGTGCTACTGTCCCAGGCTTACAAAGAAACAGTATTGGGCCGAGTGAGAGGTGGAGTTAGCAGATTTGACTTTGGGAGTGCTAGGTATTAGGAAATCTATTTTGCTTAGTTTTCATCAGTTTCTTATCTTTTTCTTTTTTCTTTATTTGCTAAGCAGCAAATGCACCAGTAGAAGAACATAGGATGTTTAGGGAGAGGAGCCTGATTATCCTAAGTCTGAACTTCCCATGCTTTATCCAGACTGCCTCCGTCCTAGTAGCCTTATTGGAGTCAACAAGCATTTATTAAACACTTACTATATTTGAGGCACTGTGATAAACCCTTGGGATGTGAGTTGGTTGGTTGTTGTCCTTTGCGCTCAAAGAGGACTAAAAGGTCATCACTATGTTGGGCTCAAAGTACAGTGTGTACAATTATGCTAATTAGACTGATATGAGTTCAGAAGGATCTACCACAAGTTGGACACAAATAGTCCATATAAACTTTTGGAATGAAGATTTGCACATCTCACATTTCTTTTGAGCTACTATAGTTCTGCTTTGCTTATAAAGTATAGCATATTCTTTGTTTCAGGCAAGCCACCCTGGGCAGTCCTATGCTATTATATCCCATGTCTCACAATCAGTTCCAAAGTTCTTCAGAGACCTTGAGAGTGCCCTTGTATCACTTTTTCTGACATCCGTGTTAGTGCTTGCTTTGTGTGAGTTCTTTGTAAAATAGTATTTTAGGAAAACATAGCTTTGGTATTCAAACAATGTGGCCATCCCATTGGAGTTGTGTTCTCTTCACTAGAGTTTGAATGCTTGACAGTTTAGCTTGAGAGAGGACCTCAGTTTCCAGTGCCTTATCTTGCCTGGTTATCTTTAGAATCTTCCTAAGACAACTTAAGTGGGGAAGCCTTTCAGGTTCCTCGCATGTCTCTAGTATACTGTACAGTTTTCATAGGCATACAACAAAGAGGTTAACACAACAGCTCTGTAGACCTTTAGTTTGGTAGGCAGTCTAATACCTCTTCTCTCCCACACTTTCCTCTGGAGCCTCTCAAATATTGAGCTAGCTTTGGCAACGTGTGCATCAACCTCATCATCTGTGTGAACACCCCTGGAAGGTATGTTGTCATGGTAAGTGAACTTGTTCACGGCATTCAAAATTTCTCCACTTACTGCAACCAGTGGTTCCACATATGGGTGGTATGGTGCTGGCTGGTAGAGAACCTCTGTTTTCTTGGTGCTAATGGTTAGGCCAAAACCAGCACAAGCAGCAGAGAAATCCATTTACATTTCAACTTCAGAGGTTGCATTGAGTGCACAATCATCTGCAAACAAAAAATCATACTCTCCCTTCACTTTGGTCTTGGCTTGTAGCCTTTTCAAGTTAAATAATTTACCATCAGTGGGGGGTGACTGACTTTGATGCCATGTTCATACTCATTGAAGGTGTCTGACAACATTGCTGAAAACATCATGCTAAAATGCATGGGAGCAAGCATGCAACACTGCTTCACTCTATTGGTGACTTGGGAAAGTTTGAGAGCATTGTCCATTATCTAGAACCCAGGTAAGTATGCTGTCATGAAACTGACATGCAATACTGATGAACTTTTCTGGGCAACCAACTTTTGCCATGACCTTCCACAAGTCCTCCTAACTGACAGTATCAAAGGCCTTGGTCAGATTGACAAATGCTGTGTACAGACCTCTGTTCTATTCCTGGCATTTCTCCTGCAGTTGGGCCACAAACACCATATTGACTATTCTTTGGCCCTTTCTGAAGACACACTAGGTCTCAGGTAGTTGAACATCTTCCAGGTCAGAGATAAGCTTATTAAGGAGGACTCTGGCAAGAATCTTGTTAGTACTCTTTGGTGAAGGTACCAGCACTACAACCTCAAGAGTCGGCAGTCACCACCTCTCCTCCTCCTGACTTGTCGCTGTTCCACTCTCACCAAGAAATAAGTCAGTAAGGAGGCCGCTCCACCACCTTGGCATTCAAAGACACTGGCAAGACCCCTGTGGAGCCATTCACTGGATCCAGATTACCCTCACCAGTAGCAGGTGAAATCACTGGAGAAAGTGTGGGCTGACCTAATTAGAGGAACCAAAGAAAAGAGCTTGAGAGTGAAGGGACTTGTTCGAATGCCCACTAAGATGCTTTGAATCACAACTAGAAAAACTCCTTGCAGTGAAGGTTCAAAGACTTGGGATCAATTCCAGATGAGAATCCACAAACACCTTATTGATTTGAACAGTCCTTCTAAAATTGTTAAACAGATCACTTCTATCAGCATTGAACCAGGTGCAGAAGTTGAAGTCACCATTGCAGATGCCTAATCCATCATCTTTTTTAAATAAATTAATTGTAACTATTAAAAAAAAGAATCTTGCCAGCAACGACTAAGAGAGAGACACCCTCCCACCCCCGTGACTGTCACAGGATGACCTATTTCCTTTTCCTTTATGGAGATGGACAATGGAGGTATCCTTGAACTCCTGGGGGATAACGTCCTCTTTACATATAACCCAGAAAATTTCAGTCAGTTTTTGTATGAACAGTGGACCCTCTGCTTTGTAAATCTCAGTTGGAATAAGATTAGCACCAGGCACTTTGCCATAGCAGAGGAGCCTAATGGCATTCAAAACCACTTCTTCAGTTGGAAGTTCAGCTACAGAGGGATTGACTTCAACCTGAGACATACAGACATTGTCTTCAGCATTGATTGATGATGATCTGTTGAGACAGTATGGAAATGTTTGGCTCATCTCTCCAGGATCATATCCTTATCACTGATCAATGTGGCTCCATCAGCACTGAGTAGTTGAGATGCACCATAGGTCTTTGGCCCATAAAAAGCCTTCAGGACATCATAAAAGCACTTTGGATTGTTACTATCAGTGTAAAACTGAATTTCATCTGCTTTC